GAGCACGTGATGCTTTGCGCGTCTGCTTGGGAGGTTCCAGGGCTGGGAAACAACCCTTGTGTTTTTGTTTTGTGGTTGCCACGCTTGCATCTTCGTGTCCTGTGACAATTTGTGTCTACTCTAGGATTGTCCTGTTTTGTCCTATGGCAGCCGCAAAGCATTGGAGACCGAAGATTTTTCCCTGAAATCTTCAGGCGTAATAATAACTTACTTGTTATTTTGGGGGAAGAAAAGACCCGGAAATAGAATCGAGAGTTTGTTTTGTTTTGTCGGTCGTGGGGCTTGAACTCTGAGCCTGGGTGCTGTCCCTCAACTCTTCAGCTCAAGGCTAGCACTCTACAACTTGAGCCACAGTGCCATTTCTGGTTTTCTGAGTGGTTTATTGGGGATAAGAGTCTCATGGACTTTCCTGCTCAAGCTGGCTTTGAACCATTATCCTCAGTTCTCAGCCTCCTTAGTAGCTAGGATTACAGATGTGAGCCACTAGCACCTGGCAGTATTTTTTATTCTAAGGCTGCTCTTCTTCAACCTGGAAAAACTCCTGGAGAAGTTGGCTTTCCTTGCCATATCTTTGTTTTCTTAATTTTCCCCAAAGCTATCATGTCCAGGCCATCCCTTATCACATTTACACCAGCCACAGACCCCAGTGATCTATGGAAGGATGGGAAGCAGCAGCAGCAGCCTCAACCTGAAGAGCCAGAACGCATTCTAGATGGGGCTGCAGCCCGGGCTTTCTATGAGGCCCTGATTGCAGATGACAGCAGTGTCTGTGAGCCCCAGAGATCTCTGCCTAAACCTGTCCAAGAAAGAAAGAGGAAGAAAAGACGAACAATGAGGGAGGCTGCAGCAGAAGCCAGGGCCACAGGAGTATCAGGAAGACAAGAACAAGAGAGATCCATTGAAGCTGAGGACAAGATGACCCAGAGGATACTGAAAGCGGCCCAGGAGGGGAACCTGGCAGAACTTCGAAAGCTGTTGGAGCCTCAGGAGGCAGGAGGAGCTGGAGAGAATATCAATGCTCGGGACTCCTTTTGGTGGACTCCCCTGATGTGTGCTGCCCGAGCAGGCCAGGGGGCTGCTGTGCGCTATCTCCTTGGCCGAGGGGCTGCCTGGGTAGGGGTCTGTGAGCTGGGTGGCAGGGATGCTGCTCAGCTGGCTGAAGAAGCAGGCTTCCCTGAAGTGGCCCGTATGATCAGAGAGAGCCATGGAGAGACAAGGAACCCAGAGAACCGGTGAGAGGGTGCCTTAGCCCATATCCATTTTCAGTTCTGCCTTTCCTGTACCCCATATCAGAGGTCCCAGAATAGCTGATGAGGTCTCCTCATCCTCTAGTCGTAGAGTTATATGGAGTTATTTTTCTCTTGGGTTGGTCTTAGGATGCCATGGATTAGCGTGCAAAATATTAGAACAGTGTTTGCCACAAAATAACATACTATATAAATGCTTGCTATGGCCATTGTTATTCACCTCTTGCCCACCAAAGCTTGTGAATCCTTTTTAGCAAATCTCCCAACTGTTCCACTCAGAGTCCCTTGTGGCTAAGTGGGGAGGGGCTTTGGGTATGGATCAGTGAGGGAACACTTGCACAGCATTTACAAGGACTTTGGTTAGATCTCCAGCACCACACACACACAGCAAAAACACAAAGGTGAGGGTGAGCAGGGGAGAAGGCAATTTGTTCCTTTACAGAAAAGGCAGTAGAATACTGCTACCCTGCCAGCCTCTGAGGCCTCTATTCTTTCCCTTTTCCATCCCCTGACTTTAACCCATTTTATTCATTCTCTACTGTAGGTCTCCCTTACCCTTCTCACAGTTCTGCGAGACTTGTGGTGCCCACTTTGAAGACTTGAATCACCGTTCATCCACTGCTCATCTGCTGTTGCTGTCCAGGGGTTCCTGTGCTCCCAAACTTTCCCTTGGTGTTCCCAGCTCCAGCCCTGGTTTCAAGTTGTTGCTGAAGGGGGGCTGGGAGCCAGGAATGGGACTGGGACCTCGGGGTGAAGGCCGTGCCAACCCTATCCCCACTATCCTCAAGAGGGACCAAGAAGGATTAGGCTACAGTTCAGCACTTCAGCCTCGAATCACACACTTCCCTGCTAAAGATACCCGGGCTGTATCTGGAAAAGAGAGAGCCCCTCGAGTGGCCACACTGAGTAGGAGGGAGAACAGAAAGCAGGAGGAGAAAGACAGGGCCTGGGAGCGGAATCTAAGGACATATATGAACCTTGATTTCTGACTTGGCTGAAGTCTGACCATAGTCTGGGTTTGGAAGTCTGAACTTGGACCTCTGATTAGGCACTTTGACTTAGACTGCCTACGATCTGCCCAGGTGCCAGCTCTCTTTCAGGTTTTGACCTTTTGGTGGAGGGGCTGAGAGTAGAGAAATAATAAAACCTTCTCCTTTTGTGGCTTATTTACTTTTTGAAAAAATGCTTTGGAGTAGTCAAACATATCTGAGGACTGTTGGGCACTGTGGCTCACATCTGTGATCCTATCTACCTAGGAAGTGGAGAGCTAAGGGCCCTGGAGGCAGACAAATCCCAGAGCTTTCCAATTAGCAAAAAATCAGAAGTAGAGGTGTGGTTAAAAGTGGTAGAGGCGGGCTGGGAAGGTGGCTCAGTGGTAGAGCACTTGCCTTGCATGCCTGAGGCCCTGAGTTCGATTCCTCAGCACCACATAAGCAAAAAGAAATGTATTCTTTACCTGACTTATGAGACTGTAACCCCTCTGTAGATCACCTTTATAATAACAATAAAAAAATTTTTAAATAAAGTAGTAGAGACCAGCATTCAGCAGAAAAAGTTAAGCCAGTTTGTGACCTGGCTGGGTGCTAGTGGCTTGCACTTATAATCCTGGCTACTCAGGAGGCTGAGATCTGATCATCAGAGTTCGAAGCCACCCCAAGCAGAGAAGTCCCCTTTGACTTTTATCTCCAGTTAACTACTCAAAAAACAGGATATGTCTCAAAGTGGTAGGGCACTAGCCTTGAGCAAGAGTTCAGGGATGGCTCCCAGGCCATGAGTTCAAGCCCCACTACCAGCACAGAAAAAAAAAAAAAACTGAGGGCCACATACAAGCCCCATCAGAATCAAAAGAGGGAACCTGTCTAAGTGATGTAAGGTCACCTCCCTGCCAGATCTCATATATTAGGAAAACCTCACCTATTCTTTGAAACCTCTGAACTTGCCGAGCTCTATGCAAGTTTCACCTCCCCCCAAAAGGGTCCCCTGACCAGACCAGCCAGTTGAGTCACTGATGTCCCAAACATAAGTTCATATACTAAATGCTAAGAATACAAATAAGACATTCCCAACCCTTAGTAGTTCACAGCTGGAGGAGGAAACAGCTGTGTGCAACTGTATTAGGGACAGAGGAAGCCAAGGAAGGGCCTTCCCCCAGGAAGTGGAGGGGTTTTTTTGTGTGTGTGTGCTGGTACTGGGGCTTGAACTCCTGGCCTGGGCACTTGTTCCTGAACTTTTATGCTCAAAGCTAGAGCTCTAGCTATTGAGCCACATCTCTACTTCCAGCTTTTTTTTTTTTTAGTGGAGATAGTCTCTGGAAGGCTGGGAAGGTGGCTCAGTGGTACAGTGCTTTCTTCGCATGCATGAGGCTCTGGGTTTGATTCCTCAGCACCACATAAGCAGAAAAGGCTGGAAGTGGCACTGTGGCTCAAGTGGTAGAGCCTTGAGCTGAAGAGTTGAGAGACAGTGCGCAGGCTCAGAGTGCAGGCCCCACAACCCAAAAAAAAAAAAGTCTTTTGCCTGGGCTGGTTTTGAACCACCATCTTCAGATCTCAGCCTCCTGAGTAGCTAGGATTGCAGGTGTAAGCCAAGGGAACCTGGCTGGAAGTAGTCTTGCTGGATGGAATCAAGATAGGAGGTTTAAGATTATCTACCTTATAGACTGGCACCTGTGGTTCATGCTGTAATTCTAGCTACTCAGGATCTAAGGATCAAAGCTTGAAACCAGACTGAGCAGGAAAATCTGAGACACTTATCTCTAACTACCAGAAAGCCGGAAGTGGAGTTGTGGCTCAAGTAGTAAAGCACTAGCCTAGAGCAAAAAATCTCAGGCATAGCACCAGGTCCCAAGTCTAAGCCCCAATACCAGCACACACACAAGATTCTGGGCACCAGTGGCTCATATGTGCAATCCTAGCTACACAGGAGACTGAGATCTGAGGATAGCAGTTCAAAGCCAGAAATTAACCCCCAGAAAAGAAAGTGGTGTGGTTCAAAGTGGTAGAGCTCTAGCCATGAGTGAAAAAGCTGAGGGATAGCACATAGGCCCTGAATGCAAGCCCCAAGACCAACAGAAGGAAAAAAAAAGAGGATTACCCACCTTGTATTCTGTCAGCTGTGACCAGAACTCTGGCCTCCAAATAAAAATTTATGTCAAAGGAATGGGACATAAGACGTTGTGAATTCTAGGCAAGCACTCTACCACTGACCCAAATCATTGCTAAGTCAGTTTATTGCACTAGCTATAAGCTCTTGAGGGCAGGAAGCACATCCTATTAGTCTTTTTCTTTCCCACACTTTGCTGCCTGGCACTCCCACTCCCTTGGCAGTGCCCCACGAGGTGGTAGGCTTATGAAGAGCTCACAGATCCCTGCATGGAGGGGTGGAGAAGAGTTGTTCAGAGTGGCAAGGGTTTCCTGATCATTTTCCTTTCTATAACATCCTTTCAAGAAGTCGTGGGCAAAAACAGGAGTGGTGGAGGAGGTGCAGAAGAGCCCTGGGGCAGGGGGCGGGAGAATTCAGAGCAGAACGGAAGGCTGGAGGGAACAGAAGGTGGGAGGTGAAAGGGAAGGACTGGGTTGGCCTTCAGATGCTGATTCTGGTAGACGCCGCTCCGCCGCCTGCAGTACCGCGTTAGAAGAACGCGGGGACACGGGGGGAGGTCGATCCGCAGGGTCCGCCCTGCAAGCTGCGGGCTCCGCCCCCGTAGGTTCCTCCCGTCCCGGTGCAGCTGCTTCCGGGCTTCGCGAGGCTGCGGCCCCGACGCTGGGCCCAGAGCGGCCCCCGCGCTCCGCGCTCGGGTGCCCGGCTCCCCAGGTAGGCCCGCGCCCGGGGAGCCTAGGACCTCTGAGGACATCTCGGTCCTGACCTTGCAAAGGCCAGTATCAGCTGCGCCCTCGGGGGACCGGTCATTTTGTAGGACTCAAAGCCTCCTAAGTCAAGGGACCCACGCTTCTGGCTGGAGTTTGCTGGACACTTCCATCCCACCTCCCGACGGAGACTTCCTATTTCGTGAACTCTCCTGGGGCAGCAGTTTAAGACTTCTCAGAGACCAGAGGACCGAAGGACCCTTGGCCACCTTCCTTCTTTCCTTTTCTGATGGAGAATCGCCTTCCCTGTTTCTGGGGCACCTTGGGGCGTGGTCTTGGTGAGTGAAACTTGGGGTGCTGCCTGCTGGGAAGGAAATCTGGACACAGAATAATAGGGGTGACCTAGTCTTGTCAGATTCTGAGTCTCTTGAAAATCTTGTGAGAGGGGGTGGTGAGGTGAATGAATTTGTACATGCCTTTTCTTCTTTGCTCCCAAACTGAAAAGGAGACAGACCACTTGCCACACTGGAGGCTGCCTAAGGGAAGTGGGGAGCTCCTTCTGAATTCAAATAGGAAGACATCACTAAGCAGATACCTGTTCTGAATCCGAACAGATTCTGGCTTCTGAGAAGACCCTCAGTCTAACCAGTGCTAGGAAGCACTCCCAGATTTGGGGGAGGCTCGTTACAGCCATGTTCCTCCAACGACTTGGTGGCTGGCTACCTCGCCCTTGGGGCCGGCGGAAACCAAGGAAGCCGGACCTGCCTGCCCCAGAACCCAGATGGGTGGACAGCTCCCCAGAGAATTCGGGGAGTGATTGGGACAGTGCCCCAGAAACTATGGGAGATGTGGGACCTCCCAAGACAAAGGAGTTGGGGCCACTAAGGAGCTCCAGGGCTGCTCGAGAACCAAGCACTGAGCCCCAACTTGAGCAACTAGGAAACAAAAGAATGGAGTCCCTCAAGTCAGACAAGACTATCTGGAGCAATCAAGAGTCTGGGAGACTAGAGACTGGAGGAGCCATTCCAAAACTGGGATGGGATGCTGTGGATTCAGGCGGCTCCAGGAGACCTGAGTTGTCCGATGAAGGGGGATCAGGTTCCCCTGGGCCAGAAGTGCCAGTGGAGAAACCTAGTCGGCGTCAGAAACTGATGGGCTGGCTGCGCGGAGAACCAGGGGCTTCCCCACGGTACCTGGGGGACCTGGAGGAATGTCTGCAGATCTCCACCAACCTGACCCTACACCTGCTGGAGCTGCTGGCCTCAGCCCTGTTGGCCCTGTGTTCTCGGCCACTGCGGGTAGCCTTGGATGCACTGGGCCTTCGAGGACCAGTAGGCCTTTGGTTACATGGGCTGCTAACCTTCCTGGCTGCCCTGCATGGGCTCCATGCTGTGCTGAGCCTACTTACAGCCCACCCCCTACACTTCGCCTGCCTCTTTGGCCTCCTGCAGGCTCTGGTGCTGGCTGTCAGCCTCCGAGAGCTCAATGGGGATGAGGAGGTCACTGATTGGGAGGGCAAGGAGTTGGGAAGGGAAACAGAGGAGCAGAGGGGAGGCTCAGGAAATGGGCTGTAAGTGTGGGGTGAGGTGGGGGCAAAGGGCGAAGATGGCGTGGCCTTTGGAAGAGTAGAGAGACTCGGATTGTAAGCACAGGGACCTCAGGGATGGGGCAGAAGCCCTACAATATGAGGGCACGGCCCCCCCTTCATACCGTGAAACATAGCTGTTTAGGGTATCCTTTTATGGACATTGGGGCATTGCCCTCAGATTCACCAGCTCGCTACTTTTTGCTTTTACATATCTCCCACCTATGGTTTTTATTTCCACCTCCAGTTTTTTGTTTTTTCCACATCCACTTTTTAACAGTCAAAAGTAAATAAATAAATAACGTGATGGTGGAGAATAAAAGCCAAAGGGTTATTTTTACCTTTCCAAACTCTCCAGAGGTAAAAGAGACCAGAGATGGGGCAGAGATCTCTGCACTGAGAGGGTGAATGGGAGTCATAAAATGTCTCTGGATCCTGGGCCCAGGACCATCTAGGAAGTGGGGCTGCTAGGTGGGTGGATTAAGGATTTTGGAAGGGGCTAGGCACTGGTGGTTCATGCTCATCCTAGCTTCTCACGAGGCTGAGGTCGAAAGTTTTGGGTTTGAAGCCAGCCCAGGCAGGAAAGTCCCTGAGACTGTTATTTCTAGTTAACCACCAGAATGCCAGAAAGGAGCTCTAACTCAATTAGTAAGAGCACAGTTTCTTGAGTGAAAAAGCCAAGAACACACCTACAGGCACACACCCACACACAAAACTTCTGAAAGGGGTCAAAGGTGACAGGGAGCTAGCATGGAGGATCTGGTATTAATAGGGCCGCAGGGAGTGGGGATGGAGTAAGTTACAGGCCAGAGGGCCAGCTCAGCTGGCATTTCAGACAAGCAGCATGGGGTGAGGATAATGCTAGTTGTCCCCATTCAGAGGCTAGTGGTTTGCTCATTCAGCAATAACTGTGTCACACTAACTCCTAAATATACCACTACAATGTGAGAATACTGTTATTCTGTGTCCTTCTTGATGCTGTCCAGTTGTGGGGATAGGTTGGGACAATGCTGAATGGGGAGTGACATTGATAGCTAAGAGACAAAACCATAATAAGCTGAGCACTGGTGGCTCACACCTGTAATCCTAGTGATTCAGGAAGCTGAAGATAGAAGTTTTCAATGCCACTCCAGGCAGAAAAGTCTGTGAGATTCTACTTCCATTTAGCTAGCAAAATGCTGGACTGGAGGCATGACTTAAATAGTAGAGCTTCAGCTATGAGCATGAAAAACAAGTGAGAGCACAAGGCCCTAAGTTCAAGCCAGGTTAAAAAAGCACAGGAAGCCGGGCACTGGTGGCTCACGCCTGTAATCCTAGCTACTCAGGAGGCTGAGATCTGAGGATCGAGGTTCAAAGCCAGCCCGGGCAGGAGAGACCGTGAGACTCCTATCTCCAATAAACCACCAGAAAACCGGAAGTGGCACTGTAGCTCAAGTGGTAGAGAGCTCGCCTTGAGCTGAAGAGCTGAGGGACAGCGCCCAGGCCCAGAGTTCAAGCCCCACAACCGACAAAAAAAAAAAAAAAAAGCACAGGAAAAAACAAACAAGATGAGGACTAAAAGTCATCTTTATTTTTCTTGAAAAGGAGTTGATAAGACTCCAGCTTCTCCTGCTAGCAACTCAGCTCCCATCATATCTGTCTGGGAGCATAGATGAAGTTATAGATCAGCTACTGGACAGTTTGCAGGTCTCTGAGAAAAGAAGGGGATAGAAAGGATGGAAGCAAGGTTGGTGGTAATGGAGTGGGAAGAATGTACTCTTTCATTTCTCAATGTCATAGAAAGGATCTTGGATGTCTTTTCCCATCCATATCTGACCCCCTGCTTCCTTTTATCCATTACAGACTCAAAGTTTATCTTAGGTCAGGTGCTGGTGGCTCATCCCTGAAATCCTAGCCACTCAGGAGACTGAGATCTGAGGATCATGATTCAAAAAGAGTCAGCCCAGGCAAGAAAGTTGTGAGACTTTTTTTTTTTTTTTTTGGTTGGTCATGGGGCTTGAACTCAGGGCCTGGGCGCTACTTCCATTCCCCCCCCCCCCGGCTGGCTTTACACTGTGATCCTCAGATCTCACCTCCTGAGTAGCTAGAATTACAGGTGTGAGCCACTGGCACCCAGTCTGTGAAACTCTTATCTCCAAGTACCACCAAGAAAACCAGAAGTGGTGCTGTGGCACAAGTGGTAGAACCCTCACCTTGAGCTGAAGAGCTCAGGGACAGCACCCAGGCCCAGAGTTCAAACCCCACGACCGACCAAAAAAAAAAAAAAGAAATTACACTATGGTTCAAGTGGTAGAGTGCTAGGATTGAGAACGAAGACACTCAGGGACAAAGAGACTCAGGGACAGGGCCTGAGTTCAAGCTTCCCAGCCAACAAAAATAAATAGATAAACAAAATTTATTAAAAACAACACTCAAAAAACCCCTCACTATCTTTTGAGTAGCCCAGAATCCCTTAGGAAACTGCACAGATTTTAGCCACATCCTTTGGTGCCATACTACCTGTGAAAAGTGGATGTGTCAACATGGCCACTGCCTGTGGCCATGCCCTCTGGTCACATGAGTCTCCTTCATCTAGCACCCTCAGAAAACCTGGTGATTCCCAGGTTGTACCTGGGAGATTCTAACCTCTCACCTTGATTCCTGGGAGTCACTAAGAAGGTTTTGAAATCCAAGCAGGAGGTCAGGGACTGAAATTCCTCCACACACTTCTCTGGAGGGTGTGGCAAGCGATCTGGAAGAGCAAGGTGCAGCCAGGCCAGTCAAGCTCCTGTTTCTCAGCACCCTTTATCCCATAAAGGGAACTTTATGGAAGCACCCATCCCATTCTGGATGCCTGTAGCATCCTCCCTTAGGCTCCAAGTCAGGAGACGTCTTGTTTTCTTCCTCTGATACTTCATTACTCACTGTACAGGAGAAAGCGCTGATAACCCTGATCCGTTTCTTTCAGTATGATTCCACCTGGGCATGGGCTGGAGAAGAGTTCAGTCTTCATGTCAGGGCGGCCTGACAGGAGAAATGGGAGTAAGCATGAGTACAGATATGCAAAACCAAATTTAGGGATTAGGACTGGAGAGAGTGAGGAAGAATGGCAACCTACCTTCAGTTCTGAGATCTGTGCTCCTCTCAGTCAAGTGGTAGATCCATTGCCTGGGTACACAGTGCCCATTTTTCCTGCAGATTGTGGTGGCAAGGATGAAAGACTGATTGTCACTTCATCCACATAGTACCAGCCTCTATGCCATCCTGTTCCTCCAGAACAGCTACCAGAGGGCAACTCTAGAGCTATTAAATTCAGTAAACCAAAAGTAGTAGATATAATGGTGAAGAGCCCAGATCTTGGTGGGGGCTTACACTTTGGGTTGAGAGTGTACCCATCGGTGCTTCTATCTCACCACTTACGTGCGGATGCCAGCACGAAGCTGAAGCTGCATTGGGACAGTGCTGGCAGACATGTTGAAGACGATGTTGTCCACTGAGTCAAAAGTTGACAACTCTTCCTTGGTGGGAGCTGCTCCTGCGATAAAGTACCACTGGCCCAGGTGAGGATCTTGGAACTGAAGAGACAGAAGAGCAAAAGATAGTGGGTTACCACTGATTCAATATGGGATCTATCCAAGCTCTTCATTGAGCAGCACTTGGGGTGGAGGTGTTCACTGCCTTCTTTCTTTCCAACTTCCTTCTGCTGAATCTATGACAATAAGTAATTAAATGACTTCTCTTTGTCCTCCCCAGTCAATATGGGTAACCCTTTACTCCCTAATCCTGCCATGTCTCCACATTGATGGCTACAGCCCTGACACTTTTCTTGCTTTCAAAACACTCACCCTCTTCCTTCTTTCACTTCCCAGTTGTTGTTGTTGTGTGTGCACGTGTGCATACACACACACACACACACACACACACCCGTGCGCGCGCGTGCGCCCTGGGACTTGAACTCAGGGCCTGACACTGCCCCTACTTTTTTTGCCTAAGGCTAGCACTCTATCATTTGAGTTACAGCTTCCCCTCCAGCTTTTTGGTCATTAATTGCAGATAAAGAGTCTCATGGACTTTCTACCTAGGCTGTCTTTGAATCACAATCTTCAGATCCCAGCTTCCTGAGTAGCTAGGATTACAGGCATGAGATACCCGTCTTTCTTTTAGTTTGCTCATCATAGCTACCCACCCAAGACCCTCAACTTTCATGGTAGACTTCCCCCACTCAGTTCATACCTTGTTTTCATCCACTCTCAGCGTTGTCAATTGACTGTGCTCGGGGCACTGATAGATGGAGTTAAAGAGAATGCCATAAAGGTACAACACAGCTGCCCAAATTTGGTGGAACATCTTTAGGCAGGAGGGAGCTGGTGCTGTGTGGGGTGCCTTTTAAAGGACTCCTCTCTTTTCAGAGGCCTACTGCTCAGTCCAGTGTGCTTTTGGCCCCCTTGCCTCGACCTTTGACCCTTTCACCTGCTAATAAGTAACTTCAACCTTGTTTTCCCACCCACGCTTGGATTACCTACGTTATTGAGACATTGGCATGACAAGAGTCTTAGAAATTATGAGAGCTGAGTAGATGCCTGTGGTTTTTCAACCCATATCTGAGCTGGAGTTCTTCTGGGTTACATAGCATTGAAGAGATATGACTGGATTGGGCCTTTCATTCATTCACTTAAGAAACTGTTTTGATTCCCTAATGTTTGTCAGGAGCTAGCTAATCTCTGGGGAAATAAACCTGAGTAATCACAGTTCCTGTCCTTGAAGAAGTCAGTATAGGTAAAGCCAGCTGTACAAACAAATCATGCAATACAACCTGATCAGTGGCTTTTTTTTTTTTTTTTTTTTGGGTCCGTCGTGGGGCCTGAACTCTGGGCCTGGATGCTGTCCTTCAGCTCAAGGCTAGTGCTCTATCACTTGAACCACAGCGCCACTTCCAGCTTTTTTTCTTTTTGCTTATGTAGTGCTAGGGAATCGAACCCAGGGCCTCATGCCTACAAGGCAAGCGCTCTACCACTGAGCCATCTTCCCAGCCCCTGATCAGTGTTTTAAAACAGGTACAAACCAGTTACCGGGGCATTGTGGGTTTCTCTCTGAAGTTTATGATTGAGGGACCAGTAGGTATACACCCTGGAAAAGCTCAATGACACATAAGTGAATTCATCCATTCAATGTTTATTATGAGAAAGAGGCTACACAATCTAGTGGTTAAAAGGATAGACATGGGTATCAGGAAGAAGGGTTCAGACCCTAATTCTACTTCAGACTTGGGACTCTTGAGGTGCTAGGCTAACATGCCATGCTAGGCTAACACTGCCACTGATCCACACTCTCAGCCCCTTTGGGACAATTGTATTCATCTGTGTCTTATTTTGTCATCTGCAAAATGGGTACACCAGCAGAGTATTAAATGAAACAATGCTTGTAAAGTTCTTAGCAAAGACCTGCTTATGGTTGTCTAAAAGTAAATAATCATTGTAATTAATAGTACTGGTTGCAAAGCACTTATTATAGTTTCTGCTAATAAATTTTTAAATGATGGTAGTAATAATTAAGAGAAGCTGGGAGGGGCTGGGAAGGTGGCTCAGTGGTAGAGCGCTTGCCTTGAGCTGAAGAGCTGAGGGACAGCGGCCAGGCCTCACGACAGGACCAAAAAAAAAAAAAAAGAGAGAGAAGCTGGGAGCCAGTGGCTCACATCTTCACATCTGTAATTCTAACTACTCAGGAGGCTGAGATCTGAGGACTGTGGTATGAAGCCAGTCTAGACAGGAAAGTTGGTTAGACTTTTTTTTTTTTGGTCAAAGATCTTGAACTCTAGGCTTGGGCGCTGTCCCTGCACTCTTCCGCTCAAGGTGAGCTTGAGGATTGTGGTTTGAAGCCAGTCTAGACAGGAAGGTTGGTGAGACTTTTTTTTTTTTTTTGGTCAGTCATGGGGCTTGAACTCTAGGCTTGGGCGCTGTCCCTGCGCTCTCCAGCTCAAGGTGAGTGCTCTACCGCTTGAGCCACAGCGCCACTTCTGGTTTTCTAGT